TTTCTTTCATAAAACTTTTCTTATGAAGTTACATTAATAAAGTAAACAATTAAAAACAATTTCATTCATGAGTCCTACAGCACGTGGGACTGAGCTCTTTTTCCCCCCTCCCCTCTCTTTCTCTCTTCTAGGACATCAAAAGCACCTGGAGCAGGTACGTAGCTTCTTCCCACCCCCCCTTACGCTTCATGATGTTGGAAGGGGATTGGACCCCTGGGGTCAGATTTTGCAGAATATTTAGACACCTCACATGTAGCTAGGCACTTGGTGGAATTTTCCAAAGCAACTTAGCGAGTTAGGCACTGCATTGAAATCAGTGGTAGTTGGGAGCCTTGCTTGGTTAGGTGCTTTTGAAAATCCCAGGAGGCACTGTTAAAAATCTGGCCTTAAGTGACTTGCCCAAGGTCATGCAGGGAGGCTGTGGCAGAGCAGGGAGTGGAACGTAGGTTTCCAGAGTCCTACAGCAACCCCTTAACCACTGGAGCATCCTTTCCCATGAGATTATGCCCTTCTCTCTGAGGGATGGCTTGTGGACCCCTTACTTTCTAACTCCCATTTGAGGATCTAGACATTTAAATACTCCAGAGAGGAGGGCAGTTGACTCACCAGTGGGAGTTAGAGGCTCACAACGAGCCCACGAGAGAGCAGCCTCTGGTAGCTCATTCTCACAAAAGAAAGAAAAGATTTAGAGAATGTTTGGTTTTTTCCCCCTCTAGGTGTGAGATGGTGAAGTTGGAAAAACCAGTGGCCGTGCCAGAGGACCTGAGAGAGAGAGTCGGCGTCTCTTCCCAAGGAAATGTTTGTCTACAGGAGGCTATGAAGAAATTCCAAGGTAACTGAACAGTTATCTGGGTTCATGCTACGGTGATGGTACATCGAGATGTGCCTCTGACTGTGGAAGGAGATGGACTCTGGCCTATTAGTTCTCAGCTCATCCCAGCTAGACGTCTTTGTGGGTGGGCTGGGGAGGGCTCAGAGCTAATGCCAATTCGCCAGGCCTCCACTTGGATTGTCCCAGACCCAACCCTGGGTGTCAAAATTGGCCACTCAGAATTTCAGAGACACACAATCACCAGGTGTTTTAGAAAATGTTGAATTTAACCTCCCTGGCTGGGATTTTCCAAGGGACCTAAGGGATTTAGGTACCCATCTCTCTCTCTGACCGTCAACGGGAGTTGGCCACCACATGGCCTCAGCCCTTTTGAAAATCCCAGAGTCTGTACCTCAAGTTCCTCCATCTTTAAAAAGGAGGAAATAATGGCCAACCTACCTTGTTGTGCTAATTAGTGAATGCCGCCCAGTGCTTTGAGATCCTTGGAGGAAGGTGGGAGATAAAGAGGTGCAAGATATTATATTTTGGACGATGATTTCACTTTAGTTTGGTCTCGCTGGAAAGGTCTCCCCATTCCAATGTGCCTCTCGTTCTATGGTCTTTTTCCTTTGGGCCGTCTCAGAATGACAGCACGGTTCCATCCAGTGCTGCTGTAGCTGTGTCGGTCCCAGGATATTAGACAAGGCCGGGGAGGTAACAGCTTTTATTGAACCAATTCCTGTTGGTGACAGAGACAAATTTTTGAGCTACACAGACCTGAAGAAGAGCTCTGAGTAAGCTCCAAAATTTCTCTCTCAAGCACAGTTACATAAATTAACAGTAGGAATGTCACCAGAGTCAAGACAACATGAAATCACCTCTTCCAATCCTTCCTTTCTCTAGAGACCCGGCCCTCTGAACTGACCTCTGAGCCCAAAGGCAGAGAGAAAGGGTGAGGGCTAGATTCACAAAAGGACTTGGGTCTACCTGCCATTTTAGGCACCTGAATCCCAGAATCAGACCCCACTGGGATTCACAAAGCCCTCCGCTCAGCTGCAACCAAACCTTGTAGGTGCCTAAAATCACTCAACACCTCTCTTTTTGCGGTAAATATTCCCTAGGCACTTATGTTTCTGCCTCTGTGCAGGTGCACGGCAGTTCCAGTCTCGCTGTCCAGACACCTAAGCCCCAGAGGGATACATGAACAGGGGAAAGAAAGGCATTCCTCCTCCTAACTCACCTACAGGCCCCAATCTGATACACATGCTCTGAGCACACTTACTGGCTCAGGCCCTATAGGCAAACACTTACCCAAAAGACCCAGGCCCTAGGGAAAGAGATGCTCCCTTATAATATACATCATAGCTCTGTGATTAGGGTACTGACCTGGGATATGGGAGACCACCACTTCAAATCCCCTATTCCCCACAGAAGAAGACGGGACTCCAGCAGGTGTCTGATATAGGCCTCAGTCTCCCCTTTTGAATCTGATCCACTGCGTATAAATAATTGAGCAGAGGGACAGGCTTCTGGGTCTCCCGCCTCCCAAGGGCGTGCTCTAACCACCTGGCTACACAGACATTCTCATGATTTCTCTCTGCCTCCTGCCCAATGAATTATTGATTATCCCCAGTGGAACCTCTCGCCCAGGAGAGCATGTGGGCACCCGACATCAGAAAATCCTACAGCCCTGAGGTTAGGGCACTCCTTGAGAGGTGGTAGATCCCATTTCAGATCCCTGCTCCCTCTGTGGCACAGGGTTAACTTGAACCAGGGGTCTCCCAAAGGCCAGCTGAGTGCTCCAACCACTGGGGTAAAAGTTATGAGCAAGGTGGGTTTCCTCCCCCCAGGCTTCTTGCAAAAAAAATGGCACAGATGCCGGGCACCTACAGTGCTGCCCAGACTCAGTCGCTGATACTCCCTGAGAGCGCCGGGGCTTAGCACCCCCCCCCGCCACACACACACCTTGGCCTTTCCCACTTGGCGTAAGCAGGGAGTCGCCTAGCATGCTGGCTTTTATGAATCTCATTCCAAGGCGCATCTCTCTCCCTGTTCATGGTACAGATTGCCTGGGTGCCTGACTCCTGCTTTGTGAATCACAGTGACTTTATCGATTCATAGATTCTAGGACTGGAAGGGACCTTGAGAGGTCATTGAGTCCAGTCCCCTGCCCTCATGGCAGGACCAACTACTGTCTAGGCCATCCCTGATAGACATTTATCTAACCTACTCTTAAATGTCTCCAGAGATGGAGATTCCACAACCTCCCTAGGCAATTTATTCCAGTGTTTAACCACCCTGACAGTTAGGAACTTTTTCCTAATATCCAACCTAAACCTCTCTTGCTGCAGTTTATGCCCATTGCTTCTTGTTCTATCCTTATAGACTAAGGTGAACAAGTTTTCTCCCTCCTCCTTATGACACCCTTTTAGATACCTGAAAACTGCTATCATGTCCCATCTCAGTCTTCTTTTTTCCAAACTAAACAAACCCAATTCTTTCAGCCTTCCTACATAGGTCATGTTCTCTAGACCATTAATCATTCTTGTTGCTCTTCTCTGGATCCTCTTAAATTTCTCCACATCTTTCTTGAAATGCGGTGCCCAGAACTGGACACAA